TTAATAGCTTATTTTGCAGGTTAAAAGGACACAATCATTATTTGCAATGGTTGAAGAAAGTTCATTTATCTTAATAGTTTAAAGCAGAGGTGAAAGCCTGTTTTGTAAACACAATTGTGCCCATTTCTGTGTAGCTACTTTAGTGCTACCATGAATGTAGGGTTGCAGAGTTGCAGCAGAAGCATATGGCCTACAAAGCCCACGATGCATGCTGTCTGGCCCTTCGTGGGAGTTTGCTGGCTCCTGTTCAAGGGGAAATGCATCAGAACGAAATACACTCCCTGCTTCGTCAATCACAGTTTGTTTTCATGAGCGCTGAGCAACTCTACCGCCAGGTAGCACTTGTTGATGCAAATTAATAGCGTCTGTGGTCTCAAAATGACTAGAACGTTATACACTTTTATTTTGTCCAGAGAGTGGTTTGCTTGGAGACACTGCAAGGGACATTTTCATTTCCTTGCCTCCTACGCAGTCTCCATTCTTCGTGGCTTTGTTGGAAAAAGTCAGAATAAGGCAAATCTAGTAAATCCTGCTTCATGGACACCCCAGGAACAGAACTGAACACCCATTGGGGGAGTGACTCTCCCCCTAGAAGCCAAATTGGAAATGGGGAGGGGTGTCTTGGGTGTGGGTGTAATGCACTGAAAAAAGATGTTACTTTATTTTAAAACCACTGTCCTTTTATTTATCCTGTGTACTGGAGTTAAGGTAGTATATTTGGCTTTTAAAATTCTGTTTCAATTTATAATATCTATGATTCTCACTAAAGCTAGAAAAGGGGGTTGTACAGAGTTACATTTTATAACAAAGGGAGTATTGGATCCGATAGTATCAAGCATCACTGACCTAAGGACAATATTTGATATTGCATTCGCAAGAGACGAATAACCAGAGCTACTTTCTAGCCTAGAATTTTGTATTCAGCAGCCGCCTGTTCGTAACTTTGGAAGTCACAATTGAAGATTGGGGAGGTCTCTGCAGCTATCCAGGCTCTGGAGAAAGAGCACGTTGGAATTAATTTAAATGCCAACACACTGTAATAAATCACATTAAGGAGGATCAAGAGAAAGCCCACATGCCTCTTGTCACTGCTTTGTACACAGGAAAGTTCAGCAAAAGCACACAGCAAGGGCCATTGATCTCACATCAGGTGACCATGGGAAATAGAGCTCCCCTTGGCATGTAGTAAGATGGTGGCCAGGATTACTTTTAATTCTGCTGCTTTCAATTTTTGAACTAGGGGATAAACGTGGCCCATATTTGTTTCAAAGTGTTTGTAGGTATGTCAGCTCCAGGTGCTTTGTGTGATCTGTTTTTCATCACATTCAACAGAAAGGAGAAAGCAGTTTCTTAGTCTGAACAAATGTGAAACATTGCCTCACAGGGACAATCCGTAGTGGAGGATCCTATAGTTGTGTTTTTTGTGTGTGTGTGTGCAGATTTGTTTCATAAGTTGGTGCAGTAGTTCTGTGCCCAGTCCTTTCCAGGATGTCACCTGGAAGGCTTTTCCGTAGGTGGAAAAGGCATCACAGTCTTAGACCCGGGGTAGAGCTGACCCTGTCGTTTGCTCTAGGACCTCGTCACACCCTCTTCTCTTGTCACAAGAGAGGATTGGGCTTAAATCATTATTACAAAGTTTTTTTCAAGGATCAAAAATGATAGATGTCCACCTTTGCGCAGAATCCTGTAATTAACATATATATAGGAAATTAAGCTTCAGTTTTTGTTTTAAAGCCAAAGGGAGCCAAAAATCAATGCTTTTTTAAATAAAAAGGATTAAGCTTCATTGTTAGGGGTTAGGTCACAATGCTCTGTAAACTAAAAGGGCAGCTGGTGTTTGAAAATTTCACTCTGGCTTCTACGTCTTCTTGAACTACATTTAGTCCAGCATAGTTCTTTTACAGGTAAAGATGTGGATGTAGTCTTCTTGCTTGGTAAGTTACAGTCGGGTCCTAGACAGGTGAGCACAACCAATGAATTGGGCAAAAGAAGTACCACAGGAATTCTTTTGTCTTATTTCAGCCGTTATTATCATGAATCATTCTAGTAAAAGTTTTATAATTCAGAAACACACTATCTCTGAAATAGATAACCTCTGCCTTATGTTTCTAAGACCAGAACTGATTTGTAAAACAATTGGTTGTGGTGTTGGCATTCAGCAATGATCCTTTCATAGTTAACAAAAATACCGCTAATTTGTTAGTGAGTATGTGGAATAGTTCTAAGCCCTTCATGTGTATGTTGTTCCTGACACCCAGGAAAGAAAATAGGAATAAGTGCCACAAGCCCAGAGAAGTGAAATCACCCACCCAAGGCCAAATCATTCCGAGTGCTACCTTGGGATTTCAACGAGCTGGCTCCTTCATCTCGCCCCACAACTACAGACTCAGGGCCATTGACATCCCTCACCAGAGCAGGGCTCATCGTGGAACTGCCCCTTGACACCCGAACCCTTGCACCTGGGCTTGTGCTTGATTCATATTGTGATAGTAGCCGTGTCTGGTGTAGCTCCAAGCAAGCGAGCACTTCCAACCTGAAGGCCGTGGACTGTGGCTGTGCGAGCCTGTGTGAAACACCCGCAGTAGAGAGCTGTAGTGAGAAAAAGCGGTTTCCTGGTTGGTGAGGGACTGCGGCGTTGAGGAGCTGAGGTTTCTCCTTGGGGTGATGAGAATGTTCTAAAGTTGTTATGACGCTATTCACACAATCCTGAAGACATAGAAAACCCTTTAAGTTGCACATAGGAAAGGGTGGATTGTATGATATGTGAGTCACGTCAATAAAACAGTTGAGAAATGGAAGGGAAAGAGAATTTCTTCCTTTATAGTCATTTCCAATTGCAATTTTAAATGAGGCTTGAAGAGGGCGGAATTCATCACTAGGGTTTGTTAATAAACGGGGTGAAGATAGGTGGACCATATAACCTGGCATTTGGAGTTTCCTTTGTTGACTTGACAATAATGACTTCACTTTTAAAACACTGACTTATGACATATTAAAATCTTTGATTAACCAGGTATGGTGGCACGTGCCTGTAATCCCAGCACTTGGGAGGCTGAGGCAGGAGGATCCTTGCAAGTTCAAGACCAGCCTGGGCTACAAAGTGAGCTCAAGGCCAGCCAGAACGCCATAGTGAGACCCTGTCTCAAAAAAGACAAAAAAAAGTCTTTGATTACTAAAAATGAATTTCATATCCGTTACTCAGTAGAGGGCCTCCCCCAATATAGAACTGTGTTGAAGCTGGTAGAGTAATTTCAGGGCAGATACACCCGGCTGCAGGGTCCCTCTCACCTCAGCCCTGTGTTCCCTCCATGAATAATGGATTACCTTGCTTAGCTACACGTGTACGGTTAGAGGGGATGTCAAAGCATAATCAATATTTTTGTCTAAATGTAGTCATTGGGAGTTGTTGGTGAATATATTTTATGGCCCAGGAGTTGAGGGCCAGCCTGGGCAATGAAGACCTCATCTCAAGAAAACAGGACCGAGAAGAAAGAGGAGAGGGAGAGGAAAAGCGGGAGGGGAGGGAGGAAGGGAGACAGGGGGACACGTGCTCCTTGGAGAATGAATCTATTAACAGTGTAACAGGTTATTTTAAATTTTAGGTTGTCTTGCCTCTTAGTAGTTTCAAATTTTAAAAATTTGAGTATCTTTATCAAGTATTTCTGCTTAGTTTGTTTTTTCTTTCTTCTCTCTTCCCCTTTCCCTGTCTCCCTCCCTCCGTCCCTCCCTCTCCACCTTCCTCCTTCTCATCTATTTTCTTGAGATGGGGTCTTTGTTGCCTAGGCTGGCCCTAAACTCGTGGGTTCCAGTGATCCTCCTGCCTCAACCTCCCTAGTTGCCCAGGCTACTGGAGAGCACCACTGCATCTGACTACTTAAGTCTAAATGATAATTCTCTAGTGCCACTGTTCCAAGATACAGCAAACCAATATGCCAGTTGGTCCCATCACAGCACTATCTGATATAGATGTTTTCCACATAATCAGTATGCATTCACAGATAGATATAAGTGCCACCGTGCGCCACGACACAGGCAGAAACCAAATGGGCACAAACTCACCCTTACAGAACAGATGCATGGAGGGCAACCTGGAAGACCTAGTCCTGTCAGGTCACCCTCACCTGGCCATCTCCTGTCCCTTTATCCTGGTGGTTACCCCACTCTGCCTATTGGTCACCTCTCTCAGGCCAGTGTGAAGCTAGCAAATCACTGAGTTTCATGTCACAGCATGTGGATAATCTTAGTGCTGAGTATTGTTTGGGAATGACTGCACTCATAATGCAGCCTGGGCTCCCCACAATCACCTTGTTGAGTGGGTCTGGTTTACCTCTTAATGACTTCATATCTGTGTGTCTGTTGCTAATTTTGATAGATTAGCGAAGCATAACTACTTTCCCTTTGTTACTGGACTCTACAAATCTAAGTACTTGCATTACAGTGGTTTTGTACACATTCTGAATGCGTTTTCATCTAGGTCTGAATTGTGCTGAGTGTGCGTCATCTTACTAACGTGTATACTTTCCCTTGAAAATACTGTTTCAATCATACCACATTAAACTGCCTTCATTTGGAGAAAGCAGACTTCTTGAAGGGGAGACCAGCATGAGTTAAATTGTCCACCCTTTTATCTTCCCGCACAGCTATCTCTAAATTATCTTTAAACATTAAGAAGCATGGAAATTTGAAGCTGTTTACACACTGATAAACATTCAGGTGCTTTTGTTTTTTTAAGACATCAGCTTGAGTGCTGGGAATAAACATTCCTGGAATCTCTCTGGCATCTTCCTCATGTGTTTAGCTCCTCTTTTATTTTCTTCCATGTTTTGTAAACCTTTGTCAGAGCTTTTTCCACACTGTGTTCTGGACATTCTTAGTAAGGAAACAGGACCCGCGAAGTCGTACTGTCCACACTCAGTTGAAATATTTAAGACTCGGATGTCACATATGCTTGAAATCCCAATACCTATTCAGTTAACACAGAATGTTGTCTTTCTTGCTAGAGTTTCCAGCATGGCCTCTGCATCAACTAAGTATAATTCACACTCGTTGGAGAATGAATCTATTAAGAGGGTAAGTTGAGTTTTTATTTATCTATATCTCCCTTCATTTCTCTTTTCTCTCTTTGAATATTAGGTAATATGTGGGGGGGAGTTGAGTTGTGCTTTCATTCTCTACTTAGTATAAGTGTGAGATGAGTTCTGCTCTAGTAACTTTTTTTGCTCTATGTAACTTCATTTTGGGGAAGCTGTCTCCTGAATGGCTGGCAGACCTTATATTTCAGGTCCTTGGCAATCCTCTATCCCAGGCCCAAGGGTCCGTCAGAGTCCACTGAGCCAGTGCTAGCCTTCCTGACACTGGTACTCTTTTCTGATTGAGGATAAAAGAGTTGCATGACTAACAGAAATATGACTTTAACAAAATGGTTCAGAGTAGCCAGGGGAAAACTGTGCGATGAGAGGGAGATTTCAGAATATAAACTGAAAGGAGGCTGAATTAAAAGTAAGCTTTATTCATGGCCCCTTGTCCTCCAGAAAGGTTAATTCATACTCTCCTGGCAGTGTATGTATACGAATCGCAAGCAATCAGAAAGGCACAAAAGGCTGTCTTTTCATTTGTCTTCCTTAATTACTAACAAGGTTGGCTTTTTTAAAAAGTGTGTTTATTTTTCATTTATATTTCCTTTTAAAAATTTTTATTAAGTGTATTGGTACATTCTAAATAGACATAATGATCACTTTCATTATAGGGACTTTGTACGTGTACATGACTGATCTCAATTCTTTTATTTCATTCCCTTAGCCACCCTTCAATCCCTCTTCTCCTCATTTACAAAAGCTTTATATTTCTTTTGTGGCATGACCATTTCCTTTACCTGTTTGTTTTTGGGGTATTTGGGGAGGATTCTCTTTTTTTGACTTATAAATGTTCTTTACATTGTGACAGTTAACACGTATACAGGGCTATTTTTCCAATTTGTTGTCAGTCTTTTACTTTTTGAATTTTTATTGGTACATGCTTACGATACTGTGTGGCACCTGTGTGGGCCAGAGGCGCCATGCACTTACAGATCTTCTTTACATCATGATCACATTCCTTGTGGGGCACTGGTTCACGTACATAACACATCTTAATTCATTTTGTACCCGCTTCCCTCTCCTTCCTCCCCTGTCCCCAACCTCCATCTCTTGGTCCTATTATTTATGAGGTTCTGTTTTGCTTTTGAAATTCAGAGTTTCAGAGTGTTTACATGATCACATATGTCAGTCTTACCCATCCTTATGTAATAATGTCCTCTGATGTATTGTGTATCCTGTGTCAGTCCCATGTTACCTCATGTCAGTCAAACATTCCTTTCTTATTTGGGGTTTGTGTGATACTCTCTTCTCCTGATCCGGAGCTGAGGCACTTAAAGGTACACTGCATATGACATTTGTCCCTTCTGCTCATTTCTGGTTAGTGAGAGGCAAAGTTAAGGGACGATAATTTCTTCCCGTGCCATTTCTCTGAGGTGTGTGATTTTGATTCTCATTGAGGAAGGCATATTTCTGGCAGGGGACGACTTGTCATGCCCACACCCTTCCCCCATTTTCACTAAAATGCTTATCTGACAAGCACTAACAAAACCCTCAAACTTGGCGGGGAATTTTAATTTTTGTATTGAATTTAGAAAATTAAAAATCCACCAAAATATCTCTCTTTGGTAGATTGTAGGTCTCTTAAATATACACTTCACGTTTCTCTTGTTCCACGTCCATTCGGATAGTCCTGAGAGTCCACTGAAGCATGCTGGTGTGTTTATCCCTCTGAGGCAGCCGTTTCTGACTTAATCTACAAGACATTGCCATGTAGGTTGGGAAAAAGCACCTAGAACAAATGGGATGGAACCTAGTTGTGAAGAAACCTCAGGCCCACACAGATGCCAGCATTATGCATTGTATGTCAGAGATGGACACGCCTTGTTGGTTCCAGTGTAGCAGGGTCCCAGACAACCAGTTCCCGGCGCTGCCTCTGGCAGACTGGACTCTCAGAACTCTCCTGGAGTTCTAGTGATCAGTACTTTGCCTGCAGAGCTGCTGAAGCAGTTGGATGGAGCACATGCCTGGGAGGAGCTCCAAAAGGGAGTTCTCTGGTGGATCATTGATTCTTACCTAGGATAAGGTTCTTGGTAAAATTGGGGAATTCAAACGCCAGGAAGGTTCTCAGTAAAATTACGAAATCCCTCTAGATATGGTGGTGTGTGCCCATTATCCCAGCACTCAGGAGGCTGACACAGGGGGATTGCTGCAATTTCAAGGCCAGTCTGGGCTATAGTCAGTTCAAGGCCAGTTTGAACTGCACAGTGAGACCCTGTCTCAAAATAAAGGTATATTTTAATTCCTATAATCCAGGATGTTTTGAGACCCAGTACAACCTAATGTCATTACTTCTGATGCCTCTGCTTCATTTCTAGACATCTCAAGATGGGCTCAATCAGGATCTCAATGAGACTGTTCCTCGACTCCCAGGAGAAACACTGATTACTGGTAAGGACCCTCTAGGATCATGTAACTGGAGGAGCAGTGTGGCAGGGTCAGGTGGCTTAAGTCCCACTTACTCTGTGCAAAACAGAACTAGGCTAGCATTGTTTAGAAGTGCTAATGGGCAGAACACTGCATTCCTGTCTTGATCGAAGAGTTCCCTCAAGAGCCTTGCGCTCACAAGGATGACAATGGTTTTTTGCTATACCAAAGGCTGAGCATGATTTAGGAAACACATAAAACATGGATTATCTCTTGCAAGTCCTTTTGCTGGCGCTATAGGCTGCCAGGCTATAAGGTTATAAGAACAAAATTGTAAGTTCTCCAGCCTGTGATGTATGCTTCAAATTGATGAAAACTTAAGGATTCTCCTCTTTGAGATATTAAGAGATCATATTGGTTTAAAGTACTTCATTTGCCAGAAAATGGTAGTTAATTATTTCTAGGTAAAATTTTGATGTGGTGCTTTTCAAAAAATTCCTATTAAGAAGAAAGTACAACATGGAAGGGCCAGACCTTTCTACCTTAAGCATATAGAGTCACCTGTAAGCCAAGTGCCAGTGTTGTGGGCATTCAGAGTCTGTGCTGGAGTCGACTCCCTTCCCACACGCCTCCATGCATGGGGAGCCAGTAGATTACCACTGTTCCAGGGACCCGTCGTTGATGGCCTGAGATCTATGCGTTGGCTCAAATGAGTAAAGCATGGTGCCAGTCAGTGAAGGTGCAAGACAGAGCGCCTTTGTGAATTAGTTCCCAAGTGCCATGACATACCAGTCTTGGGATGAGAAGTAGTGGGATGTGTCCATCCCGATTTCTGGAAAAGAGCAAAGAAGGTAATTTACTTTACCTTCATGTATGACATGGATGGTCTTCATGTATGACATTTGGGGGCTAGACATCAGTACCTGAACAGTACCTGAGACAGTAACTATGGAACTGGCATGAAGTAGCCTTAGTGTGTGTTCTTTATTTAACACCTGAAGTGAAAGGGATTTGAAAATCGCTTTAAAAATTAAAAGCTATTGCCAGGGACGTAGCTCAGTGGCAAAAGAGCCTGCCTGGCTAGTGCAAGGTCCTGGGTTCAAGTCCCAATACCAAACAAACAAAAGTTAAAAGCTATTAACACATTCAAGGACATCCTTGAAAGACAAGACAAAGATATGTTTGTAGTATAATTAATTAGCTCTTGAAATTTAGTTTCTCCTTATGTTTGTACTAAATATGTACTATTCTCTTTGACCATCTGTTTTATATCACTGAAATGTTTGAGATGAGTCTAGCTCAATTGTTCTGCGGACTATTAAAAGAGAAAGAAGATAGAGTAGATAGATTCCTACTGCTGGTATTCATTTACTAAAAACATCATCACCATATTTGTGTGGTTGGAGGTCAGCAAACTGCAGTCCCCAGTCTTGTGGTTAGCCCACGAGACTGCATGTGGGAATTGCCACCCTCATTCCCATCTGCAGCAGTGGTGCCCTCATTCCCATCTGCTCTCTGGCAAGCCCAGGGAAGTGCTGCTGGCTTCCAGAGGTGACGTGGCCCTACTAGCTCCCCAATTGTCCAATCAGGACATTGCCAGTGGTCACTTTGTACCTCTTCAGTGATTTCGATCATAGTTATTCTTAGCTGAATAGTTAATATTAAATTAGTGCCATTTGTTGTGTATCTTGGTATATATTTCCATTATTTTAGGGTACTTTTTTTATCTCACTAGACAAAGAAGTTATTTACATATGTCCTTTCAATGGCCCCATTAAGGGAAGAGTTTACATCACAAATTATCGTCTTTATTTAAGAAGTTTGGAAACGGTAAGTAAAATATAAGACCATAAAGATGACCCTAACTGTTAAAGATAATGCTAAACTATTTCTCTTCTACCTTGCAAGACTGACTGTGGATCAGATTAACATGGGGGAGATACACTCGCTTCTCAGCTCTTAATTTTTGCCTGTGCAAAGCTCATTTAACACTAACACCTGTTTATGTAAGGAACAGAATAATTTTTACAAGTAGGTTTTATCCCTCGCTAGTGGGGAACAGTTGGTAATTATAATGAGGTGCTGGTCTGGAGACAGTTTTGTGTAGAACATGTGTCCTTACCTGGAAGCACAGATGAGAACCATTTGTGGGACTTACTAGGTGATCCAGATGCCCCAGATGTTCTGTCCCAGAGTGCCCTTGCCTACACTCCAGGCTCAGGTGTATCTCGTAAGACATCACAGGGGAGGCCTCTGGTGTGAGTCCCTGCTAAGGTCCCTCACACTAGAACTTTCCGGGCATTCAGTGACAAAGCTCTAGTTAGCAACAGAGAACTTGCACGACTATTGTGCCTCTTCAGCCCAGGGCCGTGAAATATTGGCCACCACAGTTCAAGGAAGGTGCCACTGGTGGAACAGTGATGCGCAGCAGAGATCCCACAGAAGGAGAGGAGAATGTGTCGCCGCTATGGCTGCCACCGCAGAACTGATGGTAGTCAGGGTGGGAGGCGTATCTCCACCGAACAGACCAGGGAGAGCCAGTGTGGGTACCGGAGAGCGCAGCCTCTTCTGGGCTTACACGCAGGGCATGCGGAGCTTGTGGGAGAAATCTAGCTTTTGCTTTATGGCTTTAGCCCAACTTTTTTTTAGGACAACTGTGATCTAAATTAGTTTGTATCTTTTGATGTTTTTCCTTATTGTGTTCATTATTATACGTGAATTGTGAAAAATGCTGTTTATTATCACTGCTGCCTGAGCTGTGGAAGCCCACTCAAATGGCCCCTGGCACACCTCGATGTGTCCCGTAGCATGGTGCTAATAGACATTGGTACACAGGTCAGGCCTCGGGGGCCTGAGACTGGCAGTTCCTTGTGTGAACTGATTCAAACTTATGAGTAAGACCAGAGATGAGCGAAGGTTCTAGTTTTCCAGAGTGAGAGACATTAACAGCAGTGAGCCTGTGTCAACCCTGGTAACAACTGGTAAAACTTCTACAGTTGGTCCTGCGTGTGTGTGCGTGTGTGCGTGTGCATGTGCAAAGCTGTCAAACTTAAGGGCATAAAAAAAGACAAGTTTGAGAATTAATGAAGCAAATCTTTAGCGTGGAAGAATTGGTAATAACAAAATCTTAATGTCATAGATTCACGGCATTTCAGACTAAAAAGAAACACCATTTCATGCATTAAAACCAAATAAATTTAAAATAAAATGGATACACTTGAATTTTTATTATAGATATTTTCATAAACTTCCAAATGATTAAAATATAATGCACAGAACAGTATTAAAAGAATGATTTATATGCTATTTTAGTTTTCATTAGTTCATATTTGGGATGCATAATATTTACATTGATTTTGGGAAATTCATAAATAACATATCTTGATCATGTTTGACCCCCTTCTCCCCTCTTTGTCTCCTCCCCGCTCCAATTTTATCATTTTTAAAGTGGCTTATGTACGTATAAGAGAGGAACCATTAGGAGTGTTACCAAGTGTTGTCTTCATACTTCTAGACATGAAGCAGCCACTAGTTAAATATGCAGGGGCATAATGGTGGTGGTCACCTAGGTGGGGTGACAGTCAGGAAGTGTGTCACTCATATTCTGCAGTGTGGGCCCTTCCTCTCCGGTGCTCCTGGTGTAGTGCTCGGCTAACGTGTGAGAAGCAGTCGGCTAGCCAGTGCACTCAGTGACAGAGTTGGGGTCTGAAATGATCTTAATTGCCTCGGATATTGGAGCAAAACAGTGTAAAATTCAGCAGAGATAATTTAGTTAAATCTGTTGTGTCATTAAGGAATGGAAGACATCTGTCTTAACAGGGACCCAAGCTTTTTGAATCAGTAATTGGATATGACTGATGAAAAAGCTAATATACCTGTTGGGTAAATTAACCAAAGTTAGTAGTGACGAGACAAAACGGGACATTGAGCCCCATCTAAAGTGAGGGGTTCAGATGCATGTGCCATGTTTTAAGAGGTACATTGACAGACTAGAGAGAGCTCAGATGAAGAAAAGCAAACAGAGGGACAGAGATAAGAGCAGTGAGCAATGATCGAAATAAATGTTGATGCTGCCAGATGTGGTGGCACACACACACCTATTATCCCAACATTTGGGAGGCTGAGGCAGGAGGATCACTGTGAGTTCAAGGCCAGCCTGGGCTATACTGAGTTCAGGGCCAGCCCGAACTACATAGCAAGACCCTCTCTGAAAAAACGATAGAAAAAGAGAAAGAGATCTTGATATTTTGTCTGAAGAAAAGAAGACTAAGGAGAAAAGTGATGGAGCAGTCTTCAGCTATCTGAATGAAGTACTAGGGGCAGGGATTAGACTTACTTTGTGCAAATCCCAAAGGTCAACATGGGCTGCATTCAGGGAGTTTAGGTTGATATACATGAGCGCCATTACGTGTTAGATTTGAAACAAATGTCAGTATTTTTCAGGATACCTCTAATGGGCATGCATTACTTTCATAATTGGGAAAACACGCAGCAAGTTTTGTTGATTCTGTCCTCATGTGGTGCCTTGCTGACAGGGGTTAGCCTCACACAGATGAGTGAAATGCCCACCTGACAGTGACTGCTGACTGACTTCTTCTCCTACCAAGTCTTATGCAAACATTTTAAGTAATTGGCCACAGCATTTAGTGCCTGTGCAGCAGAAAGCAGCTAGTAGCAGAAAACGTCATGTCAAGAATGCTGTTTAAATGGTGATTGGAGCCTAGAAAGCTATCAGGGCTTCTTCACTGAAGCCCAAACAACAGCAATAATTGTGGAGTCTGCTGCAGAACTTGAAGGTGTTGTTTTGTGTGTTTCACAAAAGCTGTCATCTCAGTGGCGTTTCAGAGCGGACACCTATTTGTGTCAGGTATGTAAGCACGACCATAGGAGCGGTGCCCAGGTGTGTGCAGTCTGACTTTGGAATCCACACAGCCATTCTGTAAGGGATGCTGAGGGACACGGCTCTCATTGCATGATCTGCCCCAGGGTCTGTGCTGACCACTGCCTCCACAGTGACCCCCTCAAGCCAGGTTAACCAGGGCTGCTTGGATCTGTAGCTCTCCTTGGCACTTTGTTGCCCACAAAGGAAAATCGATTTTCCTCTGTGTGCTGTAAATTTCTTGGGGCTCGCATCGCTCCTTCCCGAGCACCCTGCTGTCTGACTCTGCCAGGCCCTCCCCAGCATGCACATACTCTTCACTAAACCCCAGCACCCCTTTTCCTGCTCCTTTTGAAGTCATTCTTTGTCCTCAAGAAGCCACCTCAAATTTACACACTCTGGAGCTGTCTCTGGGGGATCTGTCCCTGTGGCCGTTTGTACATGCACGGCCCCTTAGCTGCCTCTTTCTGGAGGCAGCCTCCTTGGGAACCTCCTCCTGGCTCTTTCTCCTGAGCACTCAGCGCTGTCTCCTGCAGGACACTCCTCTGGCCCTTGCTCAGGGTATGTCAGGGAACAGCATGCTCATCTGCTTGTCGCTGGTACTTTCTCTGCTCTTAGATGGAGTCTGGCACATTGCTCAGGCAGTATGAATTGAATGCATGGATTTTTGTCTCATTTATGTGCTTGCAGCTGTGACTGTTGCCTTAGGTGCTGTGTCCTCCTGGTCTCTATGCTAGATAGTGCCGTGTTCAGTAGACAGCAGGTGCCCAGAAAAAGTATGCTCAGTGAGCAAACTCAGGAGGAAGCAGAATCCTGCATTGTTAGTGTTCCTTGGAGGTAAAGTTCTTGCTATAGGCTGACCACAGTGTGGACACTGCCAAATCACAGCATCTTGAGTACCAGCATTGCCTCTGGAGTTCACAAATCCGATAGCCACATTTGACCTTGAGGGTGCCCAGGAACTTGTCTTTGGATTAATACTGTGACCCAGCAGGGGCCACCGTAGCCATGGGTGCTACCGTTGGTTGGTGGAATAGCACGAGAACTACCTTCAGACTCTCGTCCAGAGGCACTTTGGGTCCAGTGGATAAGAGACAACATAAGTGTTTGTTGGTGCTTACGTCCTCGACACAGAAGCAGTCCCTGCCTGAGCCCCGAGGCGAATCCCATGCAGTGCTGTGCCTTGGAGTCTGTGTGGCCTCACTGGATATATATGGGGAGGAGCAGTTGCGAGCAGTAAGCACGTGGTGCTGTGCTTCGTGCAGTGAGGGTGCAAGAGAAAGGGACGAGTCATGGGGTGCCTCAGAGGAGGGGATATTTGAACCACGTCTTAGAGAATGGTCATAGTGGCGCAGGAGGGATGGAGGAGCACAGCAGGTAGAGGGGTTCTGTGCCCACGTGGTGCTGTGGAGATGGTTGCTTGATCTGTGGGGCTGGGGCATCAGGTGGAGGAGTAACAGAGGCACAGGGGGGAATGAGACTGGAGGAAGAGGCAGCACGGGAGACTTGTAAATCAGCTAAGAGATGCGAGGTACGTGGAGAAGGATGGGCCCCAAGTGCTGATCCAAAGGACAGATCTGACCACAGTGTAGATGACAGGGGTGGGGGAGAGGGGCAGGGAGGCCTGAGAGGAAGTTTCCCAAGGGTTCCAGATAAGCAAGAAGGGCCCAGTGCCCTTGTAGCAGATGTAGAAGAGGGGAGAGAGCCATAGGAGACACAGAGGGCCCAAGTGATCCCTTGGAGGTGGGAACTGAAGGGGAAAGTCGGGCTCCAAATAACTCCTGGGATTTCTCTCCTGAGTGATTGGAGCTGTGCTCATTGGTCAGAACGCTCGCTGCAGGATCGGGCGGCTGGCGCAGATCATCAGGGTAGGGGTAGATGTGAAGGCGGAGATTCGGCGCTATGCAGCTAGCAGGTGGGGCTGTCACCCCTGCCGCTGGGAGTGTGGCTC